AAAAAAAAAAAAAAAAAAAAAAAAAAAAAAAAAAAAAAAATCACAGTTTTGGAAATTCAAGTTCCCATGCGCTAGAAATATGAATGCTCCCAAAGGCTCGAAATCCAAATTCATGTATCACTTTATACAATCGTTTAGACACAAAATGACTGCACTGGAAGCAGAGGCTGATAAACATTACTGTTATAACTCACATGAATTCACTCCTGTTACCGGATGAAAAGTCTTGACTGTGAGTTCTCCAGGTTGTTGGAGCATTGAACAAATAAGTGAACAAAACGCACAAAAAAACCCCAGAAGAATGAACCAATGAAAGCGCAATTTACTGAAGTGAAACTACCCTCCACAGAAGTGGCATGTAGGACTGGGAGCAGGCGAGCAAGTGGCTCAAGAGCCCTGATTACATTTTTTTAGGGTTTTATTAGATTGGTGCAAAAGCAATTGCGGTTTTTGCCATTAATAAGCTAGAATTTTGTAACACCCCAAGAGTTCTTTAAAGGCCTCCACTCCTATGAAGAATTGGTGCACGACCAATCAGAGGTTGAAATGGAGACGTCTATCTTAGTGAGGATGTGGCCTGTGTGATGCCTAATCTTGCCTAGAACTGGCTGCACCTACTGTTCTTTCGCTTATGCCTTCATCTTTGGTTACCCTACCTATTCTCTTGCCTCACTCTGAGGCATTAGAGCTGGTTTCTCAGTCTACAAGGGACAAAAGAGAACTAATCCAGCTAGGACCATGCCAAGGAAGATAGAGATGTGCCTCGCTAAAGCAAGAGTACAAAGGTACAAAGGTGAATCTCTGTCGTTCCCACAGAAAAACAACTGTCCTGCCTATTAAGTCAATAATTGTGTCCGATTCATTAAGCAAAACATTTATTCATGTAATATCCCTTACTTGGCATTCTAACTTATATTTTCAAACCATTTTAGGAAACTGAAATCAGGAATCAGTCTCAGGTAAAGAACAATGAGAGAAATCCCAGCTTGGTATTGGTAATGGTGGTGATGATCTCACCTGGAGACATTGGGTGTATGTTAAATTACTAAGCTCATATCTTTCCTGGGAAGTGCTTATCATTTGTTTCTCTTGGGACAGCAGGGAGTGTTCAACATGAGCCAATATGACACCAGAAAAAGTGGTGAAATACAAGTTACAGAAACTTAATACCAATGACTAATAAATGATATGTGGTGACAGAAATAGCTCTATTGAAACATTAGTGGATAATGAAAAGTTTTTAAACTTCAAAGAAGTTTTTTTTTTTTTTTGAGATGAAGTCCCACTCTGTCACTCTGTCACCCATGCTGGATGCTCACTGCAACCTCTGCCTTCTGGATTCAAGCAATTCTGCCTCAGCCTCCCAAAGTAGCTAGGTTACAGGCACATACCGCCATGTCCAATTTTTTAATTTTAATTATTATTATTTTTTGAGATGGAGTTTTGCTCTTGTTGCCCAGGATGGAGTGCAGTGGTGCGATCTCTGTTCACTGCAATCTCCACTTCCCGGTTCAAGTGATTCTCCAGCCTCAGCCTCCTGAGTAGCTGGGATTACAGATGCCCGCCACCATGCCCAACTAATTTTTGTATTTTTAGCAGAGACGGGATTTCACCATGTTGGCTAGGCTGGTCGCAAACTACTGACCTCAGGTGGTCTGTCCACTTCGGCCTCCCAAAGTGCTGGGTTTAAAGGTGAGTTATCACTCCCAGCCAACAGAAGTTTTTTCTTTCTTTTTTTAGAAATGGAGTTTCGCAGCTCTTGTTGCCTAGGCTGGAATACAATGGCATGGTCTCAGCTCACTGCAACCTTTGCCTCCCAGGTTCAAGCAATTCATTCTCCTGCCTCAGCCTCCCAAGTAGCTGGGATTGTAGGCGCCCGCGACCACAACTAGCTAATTTTTGAATTTTTAGTAGAGACAGGGTTTCACCATTTTGGCCAGGCTGGTTGCAAACCCCTGACCTCAGGTGAAGTCCTCCTCGGCCTCCCAAAGTGCTAGGATAACAGGCATGAGCCACAACACCCAGCCTAGAAGTTTTAACAGTGATGTCTAAGAGAGATGGAATTAAGGTCAACATGTGATTAAAATGGTCCCCTTGTTGGTTTTGTCATTAAAATGAGATTATCTTTCTTTATTGAAAAAATTGCTGGGCACGGTGGCTCAAGCCTGTAATCCCAGCACTTTGGGAGGCCAAGGCGGGTGGATCACAAGGTCAAGAGATCGAGACCATCCTGGTCAACATGGTGAAACCCCGTCTCTACTAAAAA